ACCTTCAAAATCGCACCCGAAATTCTCTCTCCATTCTTGGATGCATTCAAGACTATTTCTTTCGTTCCTGTCTTCTCTGCCCCTCAACTCTGTTTCGTTGCATCACCGCATTAGAAAAATGCGGTTTTCTCAGCCCATCATGAAGTTGAATAACGAAATAAACCAATTTGAATGTTTAGAATCCCAGAATGAACATTTCGAAAAATCTGTATGGGTTTACGCAATTGCCTCGGAGTGTATTAATCAATTATCACTGATCGTATGAAAATCGAAATTGTTTTCCAGGCGACACGAACAACTACTGCAAATTGGAATCTTCGCAGCTGGGTCCCAATTAAATCAATCAATAAGTGATTGCTGAATTGATCGGTGGTGTGTGCAGAAAGGAGAATTCTTGATTGGAAGAGATAGTTGAAATTTTGGTGATTTCCATTTGGCTATTTGAGATCATGTTGAAAAAGACCAAAAAATTTTTAACGAAATGAAGTGTATTATTCATTAGTTGTAGTAAAGTGTATTAGTCTAATTAGAACTGCCGAGGGAAGTGGTACCTATCCTCCAAATCTGCGTATTCTACTGGATTCTTTCCAATACCACCTAATAAACATTATTGACTCTTCTCAATAAAATCGAATAGTGCTTCTACTTACCAATTACACTTCACTGCACGCGATAATCAAGTCATCTGATCCTATAAGGTCGATGATAACAATGCGTTCAACTGAATTGCTATCGTCTACAGAATGCTGTGGTTGCACATTCAGCCTATGGTCATTTGGCCTAATAGACATTCATTCTGATAGACATGGAGGTCACATAACAACAGCAGTTGAGTTGGAGGCCTCCGAGAACATTCAGGAGTATCAGACCTAAGCATTCGCGAGTTGTCCGAGTTGCTCGCCTCCATTTTCCACGGAAACTCGAGTACTTTATTTCATAATCTGCTAACATATTAGGTTCTGATCAATGATCTCATCAAGAACAAATAATGCATTAAAATCATCTTTACCAACCAGTCAAAGACAGCTTACTTCTGCAGTCTTCCTCATTTTCTACTTCGGTTCATTTCGGCGTGCACGAAATAGCAATGAAGCGGATTGTAACCTTATGCGAACGAGAATTTTGCTTTATTGATGAAAAAAGACGATTTGCAAGGTAAATTCCAGGTGATTTAACGTTTACTGCTATCAATTTCGTTGTTATTCTTATTGCGATTACGACCATATCAATACTGCTAGCGTTGACAATTCGTTATGATCATCACCACCACCATCATTAATGCTAACACTATTATACCACACCTCATAAAGTCGTCAAACCTAATATGATTCATTCATTTACGGTATTGCTCAATTTCTGCTACAAAAATGTTCGTTTGCATCTATTTTAACTTCGAAAATCAATAAGATGTTTTTATTAGTACGCATTTGAGTGGGCTTTCGTGATTACTGAACATCTGCCGTATATGCTTAATTAATGCAGTCTTTCAATTTCGTAGGTTGCACACTTGCTCTCAGTTTATTTCCTCTTCGGAATAATTGATAGTCTCAATGCACAAATGAACGATTCAGTTCCTCATTCAGTTTAATTCTACCGCAGAAACGCAGTTAGGTGCTGACATATCTGACACACAGTAAAATCGAGAGGGGAAGGGAGAGAAATGCTGGTCGTTCTTTCCCATTTCTTTAAGCTTGTTGAATTGACAAGTCGTGAAATTGAATTTCCAACGCTTCAGTGGTCAGCAAAAGCAATTCATCAAGCAACATCATCACCGCTGCTTTTAAGCAGTGCACGACAACATTCGATTTAAGATTTTAGTAAAGTTACTGACGGTGTTCTTTTATTGCAAGAGCATGATCATTTATATGATCTTTCATTCTCGATTTATATGACCATATGATCTTTCATTACCGGCGATCGTTGCTTTGACTCCCTTCAGTTTTAGTATTATGTTTATTGCTGCTGTTATTATTGTTATTATTATTATTATTATTATTATTATTATCACTGCGACTCGCTGTACTATCTGATATGTCACCGAATAGCATTATTACATGATTCCTGTTATCGTTAGGAATGGTTAGATTAGGTTGTTTGAGATGTGAATTTGATATTTTATGCTTATACTTATATAAATGCTGGCTTGTTCCACGCTTCTCCAGGAACACATTCGATCGATATTGAATAAATGAGGAAGTCGAACTGATGATTCAAAGGAAGTTCGCAAAAAGACTGAATCTTGAGAGAACGTTAAGTGTGATAACCAAAATCTAGGATGCTATGCAGCACAAAAGAGCTTTTTGTCGTTTCCTTGAATCTCTGAATTTAGACGATTTTGAAAGTTTACCACCTAAATGATTTGCATCTTAGAAAATTTCTTGTCTAAGAAGTCAGTCAAGTGGCGCATGGAAAGTTTGCGATATTCGAGGAATTGATTGCGAATGGAAGGAACATTCATGAATTTTGGCTTACTCGACTCGATGAGTTGTTCACAAGCGCAGCCATGCAACCGAGACGATGCTCACTGGCTGCCGCGTAACACATTTTCGTCGTTGGACAATTACGAACAGCTGGATCACATGCATTCACATCGTAGTACTGTAAATAACCAACAGTCAACATTACATTCAGCTAATTGAAGTATTGACAGAAATAAAGTGTTGGCTTTCGAAGTCATTATTTCAAATGAGTGTGTGAAGAAACGAGTTCGACTCATACGATGAATTATGTCTGATGATCTTAAATTTTTCTCGCTAAACAATCCTTTCGTTGGCGCATTTGGATTGTACTGCACCGAATATCGTACTGATAATGAGGTGAAGTCTTTTGAAAAAAACAGGTACAGCAAAGTGAAGAGAGTTACATATGCTGAACAAACAATCAGATTACGATGAAAGTAATCTATTATGAAGGTTGATATAATGAGGCTGACAAAATTAGTTTTATTGGAGCAATTAATGACACGTACATCACAAGAGATGAATGGTCTCGATCTATTGTCGAGACTGTAATTGATCCCCTCGGTTCCATGTTTTTCCAAGAAAACCGGCCTCGCTGGTAATTCAACTTTCACTGCGCCAGCAACTTCTTTCAACTAAAAAAATTTGTCTTTATTAGAAAGCAATCACACTTGATTGCATTATAAAATGAACTAATGAGGTAGTAATATGATAACGTTCAAAACAGCGATGTGATCCATTAATTCCTTATCGCTACGTTGACACAAATAAAGTTCTCTTATAGATAAGGAAATGATAAAATTATAGATAAGGAAAAATTATAGATAAGGAAATGGTTCTGAGAAGAAATTCGTGAATGCTGGAATGAAGATATACTGAATTGATTATTGAAGTTTGAAATATTATGGTGTGGAATATGTGGAAATAGTTTTGATGCATTCTGTCAAAAAAACGATAAAATGAAATGGTGAAGTAGAACGAACGTCAACTTCGTCGTTGAACAACTCCGAATGTGATTTGCGTTCGAAGAGTACCGCTTGCGATGGATTGATCAAATTATGCAGTAGAATACTCACTGCTAACAGAAATGGCACGCGTGTGGGCAGTACGGCCCTCATCGCGACCGTGCTAACGATGTTTATGGAGGAGGCGAATGACCGCTAAAATTTGGATTAGTTCGGTGATGTGACGACCACTGTGAAAATATCAGAAATCAACTGTCACTGTCGTTTGATTCGCCAAACAATATTTTTGTCCTGTAAGTTAAAAAACGTGTAGATATAGTCAGTTGACAACGCTATCCAGTGGACAAACGAGCGATTCGAAATCAAGACAGCAAATCGTGACCAAGACACACACGAAACTTCAATGCGGATACGCATCAAATAGGTGGAGTGTAAAGAAAACGTGAAATGGTATCGCTGCCGTCGCATGTAAGGAAACTGTGCATTTAAGATCACAGAGGCGACGTCGAGCTCAATTTGGGAAATTACCGAAAAGGAATAAAGCGTGCACAATACAGGGAACGTGAACACTTTTACTGTGGTATTCCAAATGATCTTAAAAATTTAATCAGTTGAAAATGCAACTTATTCAACTGAAATTAGACAAGAAGAAAGGTGATAATTGGACGATCCGCAAACGAATAAAAACGAAATAGTTCGATGCATTTTTTTTGGTGAGGTTAGATGAGGCGAGAATTATATCGCTTTGGGATAACTTCGACAAGTGCCCTACTCAATACCTGAAGACGGCTTTCATAAACCTGTAAATGAGTGATTTTAGCCATTTGCCGAGTTTAACATGACTTGTTTTGCAGTTTTGAAAGTGAACAGTGGGTGATGTTGCTCCTCGATAGAAACTATCTGCACAGACAGAACAATGTCGAAAGTAGTAATTATCGAGGATTACCGTACAAAACTCAGTTATTTTCCGTTGACAGTGAGCCTTGAGTGTCCTACAAACTTGAAAATCAGCACGCAACACTTCAGAGTGCATACTCAGAAATACTGATCTTGGTTATGACAGAACAAAAGCAGTTCCCTCGATAACAGCTTCACAAAACATTCGGCTAAATTGTTTACAAGTTAAGAAATAATAAATCACACTAATTCGGCTATTTATAAGAAAAATAAAGTAAATTTGTAGCAGATGATTACTTTCAATGACGTATTACGGTATGTATACGGTGCGCTTGTGCGCATGATCTAATGACGCATTCTTTTATTGAGTTATTTTAAGTCACCAAATTAGCAATTTGCAGTCAAATCATTGTTCCTGTAAAAATGCTTGGCAAATTTTTGCGAGTGATTTTTCAAAGAGCTACTTCATAGTGCATTAAATGCGTGCTGGTCATCAAGATAAAAATGTGAATGAAAATCGTTAAGGCCCGAATGTGAGTTCCAGGGAATATAGAACTTGAAAACGAAATGTACAATTTGAAAAAAAATAATGTTATGAAAGGTGGATGAAATCTGAAAGGGGACGGGGACACTGGGGGGGGGGGTGCGGTATACAAATTCATGTTGATAACGACAGCTACATCATAATACCAGCAAAAATCACGGCATTGATGAGCCATTCACTGCTATGCGTCAATGATCGTTGTAACAATGTTCAATAGTCTTTATGGATTTATGCAAAGACTGAAGCAACAAGAAAACTAACAACTTTGAGATGTTTTATGAAAATGTTCAAAAAGCACGGAACTAGTTCCTATTGATTCTCACTGAATAGTATAAAAAGCATCGAATTTGCATCAATTTCCAACACAATTTCCAACATAAAAAAGCATCTCTTTAACGAGCATTCCTTTGCGAGTACAGCCACTGAAAGGGGATGAAAAAATTAATCTAATAATCGATCATTATCTTTCGAAGCAGTGATCAAAACTCGACGAAAAGTCAAATGAGAAGATAGATTTTTGACGAAGAAGCAGAAACCCACAACGGACGGTAGTGGTGAAGCGACATCATTGTTCGATTGTGAATATGAGCGTTTTTTTGGAGATAAAATCTTTAATAATTATAATTTGATAACGGAAATCATATTGATTGGAACCTTGCATTGCAAATCAGTCATTTGTTTCCAGCATTTCGAAATATTCATTTTCTTCTTCGCAACAAGAAAATGAAGTGAGTAGGTAAGCACCTTACAAACTCGACATATACTATGCATCTTGAGGTTTCATTTCAAATGATTTACAATCAATTTCACTGAATGCGGTCAAGAAATAAAAAGTTTTTGTTTGATGAGCTAAAATTACGTACATTCTGCTTGAATAAAGCCATCTCAAACTGAAATGGAATTTCACTCACAATCAATTTATTCTGATCGGATCAACAAATATCAGTGTTGATCAATGAGCGAGGTATCAACATTTGGTTAAAACACAAATATTTCTTTGAACACATCGGTCATTAATACTCTCTTAACGCACTATCACGTAGAGTAATTACTTCTTGATGCCTTATTAGTTGCTGCAATTTGTCAACTCTCAATACTCAGACGTTCGCATCGTATACGTGTTATATCATCCCCATAATTTAATCAGCTGCACACTACTAAGAATGAAACACTTCAAGGTTTAACTTCTGTTGTTTTTTCATCGCGTTATCAGTTGTTAGTTGCAGCACAAAGCTTATAATCAGTTATTCATTTGTCTCGAATATCTTTTGAATATGCTTATTACGAGCAAATGTCGATATCCTGATCGTGAGATTATCCTTTCTCGAAAAATGCCTTCAGATATCTCTGCAATGAATCATCACAATGCTTCAAACACCAATCAATATGCTTATCACTCACCGATCAGTGCATCAGTACCTTATCGATTGCTATTCATTGCCGCCAAGCAAAAGTTATCAGTAATCTTTACTTTTCAATATCGAATATTTCCAAATCTTTATCGTACGATCTAAATTCGATCACCGAACCTTGAAAATTCTCTTGACTTCGTTCTAGATCATCTCACATCTGCATGGACGGCTATTCAGATAGGTTATAGAATAACATCCAAATCTTTTCCCCATTCCGAATATGTCCGAAAAATGAAATTAATTAATTGATAATTTATTACGAACAACGAATGATCAATGCAGTTTTTTCAGTATAACGCAAGCCACAGATTGTTGAATTTTCTCGTGCTGAACAAACAGCTGCTGATATACAATACCTTCTGCTGTGCACTATTAAGATAGACTACTGAAAAAATATGAGATTAACATAATAGCTTCAAGAGCGAGAATTTGCAGAAATAAACTGAGAAAACGAGAGGAGAAGACGCCAGGAAACGGTCGTATAGAAGTGGTGTGCTGAACGGAAACGATACTCAAAACATTACACGCACAGAGTTTGCTTAAGTTGAAATATGTGAGCAAGAGATTGACTAGTTGTAATATGAAGAAAGAAATCTCAACCAATCATATCAGCACGTACAGCTTTGATATACAGCATCCAACCAACATAGTACTGATTACAACACTTTATTAGTGATAATAAAGGCAACAATATTAAGGTAACGCAAAAATAATAATAATCACATCTATACTAATATCCTTCTTTATGATCTCATTCGTATGACTTAGGAAAGGGAATATTTCATGAAAACTGCAGAAGTGTAAAATACACTGAAAGTGTTTCTTGAGGAGCAACTCCACCTAGTCGGCAATAAAATCAGCACTACAGGTTTGTTAATATCATAAAAATTTATCGCTTATTGTTGATCACTCATGCTGAATGAAAGAAACTGGAATAAAACAAAACAGCTTTTACAGTGTTATCTTACTGGCTATGATGAAGTCGTATTGACCGTAACGCCATCGGTATTGTGGCTGCTTTCATTCCGATAGATATTTCGGTTATTTCATTACTATCACGATTAGTACTTTTATCAATATGAGTGCTGTTACAGATCAATCAAAACATAATAGGCTGGTCAAACGCATGCGCTAGACGCTTGAAGAAAGCTATCTTATGGAAACGTACCCGAATTTGTCAACGCTGCAAAAGTTGAGAAGTTTGAAAATATTCGACGGCAATCCGCCTTTAAATCAATACGACAAAAAAGTATAACGAAGATGCGATCTTTGAGCATTTGAAGATCTCTTGTCAATATTTTAGTCATCATAGGATCGTTTTTTTTCATTCGAGAATTGAACACGAGTAATAAATCCAACTGCATATTCTTGTGCATGGCTCAGAAAAGAGAACCACTACAGAGCTTCTATGCGATTTAATCGCGAATATATTCGGCTATATATTTTTCAGCAGTCGGTTTATATTAAAATTTCCAGAATTAGACCACCTTATTGTTAGGAATTCGAATCAGATACAACAAATAACTAATACGAAGACAACAGTGAGATAAACATAATTCTGAATCATCTAACGTGTCGATTCTGAGAAGAAAGAGAATCGAGTGAATGAATTTACATTATTTTTTTGCTCATAAATCCTATGCATCATCAGCTGGTTTAGGTTTATTGGACATTGAACAAGTGTTATCCGAGTGTTTATGTGGGATGTGCGTTTAATTGGGCCGTAGTCATTGATCGAATGCAGAGCGTTTTCGTTTGAACTTAGATCAACAAACGTTGACAAGAACAGGAAATAACTTAAATAAACGAAAAGAGTGAAACTTTAGCACGAGAACCTTCGGAAAGAAAATAATTGTTATAACACAGTGAAAGAACACGAGAACCCGTTGAATGATTCGTAAACGGAAAATGCAGCAAATAATTCGTCATAATCTATTGCAACCATATTGATGAAAAAAATTTCGGTGATTGTTGTCATGAAAAAAATTGTTGGAATCACATTCATGTGGATTACAGAACTACCAATTGAGTTCTATTAATTTTATAAGAATTTCTATCTGGAGTCATAAGAAATTTGGAGGATTTACAGAAGGCGTAATAGTCATCGAGATTACTTCGCACAATATTTTATAAATTAATCTGACGAAAATTCATAATTCAATGCATCAACTATACATGAAGGTTGATTTGGGTTACAATGAATGCAAGTGAAATCGAAGTTTCCTCAAAAAACCTCAAAAATGGTCATTCGAAGTACCGAATACCCAGAAACAGAACTGGTGTTTAAATGCGTAGCAAGATTTCAACCCGTTCAAATCGCCTCTGATTGATCACCAGACGTATCCCTTCATATCTGTCAAACTTGTCAATCTAAATAACCCTCAGAGAATACATTTTAGCCGGGGTCAAATTGCTGAGGGACAATAATAGGATTGCAAAGTTCCCATGTTTCTCATTACTCCGTAACAACAAATCTCAATAAGTCGTAAAATTTTTTAGCCTCATTGACGTTGTAGTATACTATGAGCAGAAGTTAACTGATAGCAGAGGGCAGCAAGGATTTCATCGAAAACGTCGACGAATTTTTCCGACTTTTTTTTTGTAGCGTTCGGCGATCTGTTGTAGATTGTAGAGCAAAAAATGAACGTAACACGCATGAAATAGGTTCTTGACGAGATTATAGCGTGCAATCAGCGTTGATGAGAACGAATCGGGATAACGTGATGATTCAGTGGCGAAGCAGCGAATACATATTTCAAGTGTTCAAAATTGTTGTACGTTAAATGAAAATATCACAAATTAAACGAACACCGCTGTGTTGAATCGTCGAACAGAAATAATGAATACGGAATAAGGTATTATTCTAGGATTGTTCAGTCAGTTGGATTGCTTTGAAATTCTCCGAACCTGTCAGCAGAGCGAGTCTATAAGGGAACAGCGCATTGATAATTCCACTATTTGCGAAGTGATTTCGAATGAATAAATTGCAATAAAAAATATGAATGCCATCAAACGCAATGATAATTCACAGAGTGCAACATGAATGTGTTGTTTGTGTCTCAGGTGTGTATCCATTCAATCAAAAGGTGTGTAAATATTACAAAGGATGTAAACAACGTAATACTATTAATAAGAGGTTTTGTCATCAAATTGAAAATTTACAATGGAAATGTTTTTAGCCCAATCCATGAATTCATCCACAAATGACTAAATGATATAAAGTGGATATAAAGTGAGGGGGCAAGAAGATGTTTCGGTCAACTACCGTCCGAGTTGCACGGGGTTTAGTGACTGAACTTCGGTCGGTTACCATTACTATTGTAGAGATACCAAACAGCACAGTTTGGTATTTTTTGGAATTGCTGAAAGTCATTGTTGAATTTGATACATCAATCACATGGATTGTGTCAGAATGATTTCGAGCTCACACCAATGATAAGAGGCATGAGACCGATGGGAAATGGGCGCCTTGCTTTTTCTCTTGAACAGATAACAGACTGCATTTGGCTGCTTATAACTTCTGGTTATAATCGTAACATTGTATGAGTAAAATTTTAGCCATCCGAATCCCTCAGCCAAAAGTTAAACAGAATAGCGAAACAGCGAGCAGGAACTGCGAAGTGTGAGAGGTAATATGAGGAAATTAAGAGAGCTTTATGAAGATTATTCAGCAAACAAGAGGTGAATGCTTTTGATTGATTGCCGAATGGAATTTTTTCAAGCATTGAACGACTTCCGTGGTTGTTGACAGCTGTGCAGTCAAGTTTTTTTTTTGAAAAAAGTTTCGCTATTAAGGATTCAATTCAATTCAAATAATTTCGCAAATCTATTCATACTATTAAATGTAAATACGTACATTCGCCAATTAATCCGTCTGATAAGTTCCATTGAATTTATTAACATTTGAGTTCTTTGAATCCAAATATTTCCTGTGTAAATCCCCGCATATGTCCGCGATATTCGTTCACAAATCATCCATCCATTTTGAAAGGTCGGACTGAACACTGAACCTTTTGGAGTTAATGTTAACAACTGTCAACCAGAGCGTGAGCATAATCCTAGGCAATGAGCCTCAGCTTATGCATTAAACATGAGCCTGACTCAATGAGTGAAGCCGAATTGCATCTGTACGGTTACTACTCTTGAAACGCTGCTGCACTTTGCGGTTTGCCACACTTCTCTAGAAACTGCACGCAGAACTTAACTTCTCCAATAAATGAAATATGACTGATTGAAAAACTGATCAATTAGTATGATTTAAATGGATAACGATGAGTTTCATGCATGCATTTGACTGAAGGTGAACGCAACTGTACTCCGAGTAAATTCCATTCGATTGAAATTCTAAGTGGAATTTTTGGCGACGGAAAAAATTTCCAATACTGATCTATTTCGCAGAAAGAATTTCTCGTATATTTTTAAAGACTGACTGCACTCATATGGAATATCATCGCTTTGGAATGTGACTTTCACGGATGAATTATTTTCTCATAGTTGATATTTTCGTAGCTTGCAATTACACACTGCTGTCATCTGATGATGTGTCAGTTTTGTTCTTGAATGACGCAGAAATAAGTAGCCAATTGTAGACGTTACTGCTGAGATGATAAGGCTAATTTGCGATCATTCGAGTCAATTTGCTGACTCTCATAAAACCAATTAGTTTGGACGCTTTGAAAATGAACACTGAGCATACTGAACTGGGAACGAAAGTGGAATTTCGATTGGAAGTGGGAAACGAAAACGAATTTGTGAAATTTGTGAAAAATGCTGAAATTCTGTCACTGAAATTCATATGTGCTGATTTCAACTGGTTGACTGGCTGCATTTTATTGGGGTACACACTGATTGTGAGCACAGAGCGGAATGTGTTATATTCAGGTGGCGTGAATGGATGGCAGTGACGTTGGACGATTGGTTGTGTGAGCGCGTTTGAGAGGGTTTTTTTCTTGGATTGACAACATTTTGAAATGTTTTTCAATGCGAAATTATTCAGCGATGTTAGTTTAGAAGTGAGCGATTATTGGAAGCAGCAGCAGAAGCATCATAAAATACGTCTGATTGTGAGTTATCTGAGTGGATGATCTTAACGAATAAACAACGAACAGAACAAATTTCATTCGCAGACATTTCACTGAACGGGATATATATGTGTGTGTAAGTTCTATTCAGAATCGCTGTATTCTGATCTACTTTCTCCCCACCAACCTTGCTCCGTCATCAGCCAGATTCATCGAACTCAAAAAGTTTCACTTTTCCAAAAATGATGAAGCAGTTCAAATTGCAGCTGTAGATCGGTTGATCCGTCCGTCTAGCTGAGTCACTTCCAGTTCATCGGAATACCAACACCAGAACGACATCATATCTCACCTTGTGTCGTCGTTTACTCGCTTCTCATGATAACTACAGAAAGCAACAATCATAATTCGTAAGGAAGGTGTGAACATGAACGATGGGCAATGAAGAGACGAGATAGTTTCAAAATCATTTGACCCTGAAAAGTGATCAACGTGTTTTGACAACAATTACGCGTTAGCAGTGGCAGCACTGCTGCTAATGACTGTAATCAGCTTCGTGGATTCAAAAAAAAAGTTATTCTGGTGGATTGTTGAGTTATTTGTGGTGAATGCGTTCTCAAAACTGATAAACGCTTTAGTAGATTCGATTGAGTCAATGATCAATCATTTAATTTTTGCAATCGCTTTTTGTTGGGTTGATTGAGATTTTAATTGATTTCGCAATTTTTTGGTGGTTAAACGTACTTCTTGCTTTGTTTGTTTAGTTGAAGGAGATTTCAACTGAGTTCAACCGCTGAGAAATTGCACAAATTAATTTCGGAAGATACGCAAGGACCAAAAAAATAGCAGAAATATTGTCAATGTTCTCTGCGCATTTCTCCTTTCATCGAAATGCAGTAATTTTGTTGAATTGCAGCATCATCCACTTGTTGTAATACATTCGTCGGTTTTTTCTTCAAGTCTTCAATGGAACTATCGAAAATATTTGACCTTTCATGTTTAGTCAACTGAATGAACTGTTTTGTTGAGAGAACATCGCTTTTGATATCGGTAACGAAACCATGAAATTGCGGAATGGAACTAACTGATTGAATCGCTTATTACTGACAATAATTTGAAATTTTCAGGAACACTTTTTTTTGAACGTATCAATCAATTCAGAATTCAAAATGTTTTTTTTCAAAATCAGAACGATAAGAGAAATTTGTTGAGAAAACCGTTTTGTTGATCGATTGCATCGTTTCTCAGATCGGAATGAAGTAACTTCTGAAACTCACTCAAGAAACAGAAATGGATGGAGGTAGATCAAATGTCTCTTCATGGGAATTCGTCGAGAAATTTGGCAAAAACGATTTCATTTTTGCGGGCATTTTGATAATATTTTAATTGATTCATTCAGTGTAAGAATATTACAGCCTCTTTAATGAATACTACTACATTTTTTCAGCATTTCACCGAGATGAAGCATGAGAAGTTGAATCAAACTCTCGCAAATTCATAACCGATTCATTCTTATCCTGATTGAGGCTTAACAGCAACGCTTGAATCGAATTCTGAACTGTTCCTACTGATATGATTGACCAAGATTGGAACGATAATCAACGTGAGAAAGAGCAGGAATATATTGGTCGTATATGATATAAACTAACTGGAATATGACATGTAAGTCTATATGAGAAATACAGATTAATTTCCAATGTATCGCGCACACCACAGTACTTATTCTAAACGTACCACTGAATATGATGAATGATAAAAAATCACGTCAATGAATTGATCAGGTTTCATTTCTCGCCAAATTTTGCATTTTTCTTTCGATGAAATGAGCAATCATCAGTGATCGCTTCAACCGTTTGATATTAGCTTATCTGCAGAATACCACTGACTGCAGAAGCCTTCAACAATCGTGCAGTGGACTGATCAATCGCTCAAATTAGGCCATTTTTTGCTGAGGTGTTCGATTGAAGACGGGACATTTTGTTGCCCCACTATGGAGTTATTTAAAGCAACAATGCCGGATCGCAAAACAATCGCATTCTGTCGAAATGGATCAGGGGACGGTTTACAAGCATTATATTGACTTGAAACGATGGAAATTTTATTCCATATTTGTATATAAGTTTTGAAAATAGCAGCTCTACTTTATTATTTGGATCAGTGTTGAAAACGCAGTGGATTTCTGAAGATAGATATTAATCGATGCTTAGAGGAAAGAAACTTTTAAAGAAGTCGTATAGTGAGCGCATTGGGTGAGTCGTTAAAAGCGAAGGATTAACATCGATACTTGAAGTGAAAGGTAGATGATAAACGACGCAACAGTTCTCTTAATTGCTACTTGGAAAGTTTAACTTGGATGCTTGACAAGAACTTGTTTCATTGTTTTACTGAAAATAAAGCATTTGTTGACAGTTGCTGAAATCAATTCCAAGCATATCAGCAGCGCAATGTTAGCGATAATGTTTCCTAGATTATAAGGTAAAACTCATGAACGACCGACCCATTGATCGATCCGTGCAGATTCGACGAGTTGCAGCAAATTGGTTGTAGAACTTTTTGCAAACCAAGGAATAATATGACCTCCGCTAGTGACATATTCAAATGTTGATGACAGCCATGGCGATACGATTATGACAACAGCGATGGTAGTGATATAGTAATAGTTAGGCAGATAAAGTTTACGTTGTTATTTACTGATTTTTAGCGGCATCATTCACTAAATACCGTCGTTATGGGGAGGAATATAGCACGTCTGTTTAATATGGTATTCGGTTGGTTGTTATTGTTGTTGTTGCTGGTGCTGTTGGTGCTGCTGTTGCTGCTGCTGCTGCAGTTATTGAATTTGACAAGTTGAAATTTGAGAGTGAAACCGGCAAAAAGATAGTGGCAAGTGTGCATGAATAGAGGAGAAAACATTATTTGTTGTTACCGTGGCGCGATGCAGTCAGTACACACATCGAAACGCCGCACACTGCAAGAACGATGAGGAGCGTAGGAAGATCGTTGTTGCGGGCGAAGACACGAGAACCGATAGCTGGATGGATGGATGGATGGATGGATGGATGGATGGACGGTTGGATGGACGGATGGATCGACGTACGATGATGATGGTCGACGTACGACGAAGTGGAAAAGAGGAGCGATAACGTGAGCGAGCAAATCTAGTGTGTGATGTGGAGCGATGCGGTTGATGCAGCAGCAGCAACAGCAGTAGGGATTGGTTGGGTTTGGTAGTTGGTTGGTT